AGACTTTCCTTCAGTTACTGTTTTAAGAGTGACAAATAATTGGTAGTGTGAGCTTGTACTACACATATTGCACAATACCACCTGCCTGCTGAGCACTACTTTGAAAAGCACTTTAACAGAATTATTTCAATAAGAAGCTTTAAAAATACTCCAACTGGAGGACATATCAAAGGTTATTGTGATGAAATGTCTTTGCAAAATTTTGCCAATAGAAAGTTTAATATTATTGTTTGCATTAGGATACTAATGAGTTCATATTCCTGTATCTGGTTTCAGGAGCTTTGAATCTGAGGAATGGTAGAGGTCCCAGTGAGCTCCAGAGTCTTCTTATGTATGTGTGGTACAAAACAACCTGTAAAATTTCTGTTCAAATGAGCTAAAAAGATGATAAAACCAGCGAGACAGAAGGAAAGGAAGGAAGATAAAATAGTGAAGTGATACATAGGTCTTGTCAGCTCTCGCTTTATATTTTTCTAAAGAATTGCAGTATATGGAAGCAATGGGATGCATTTTAACATTTACGTGTATATATGTTAGATGTTAACCTTATTTTTGTATTTCTTTTCAAATGAATACACATCAGTGCTGTTCAGCAGCTCAAGCCTATCCTTTATCAGTTGTTTAGTGTCACACACACATCATGGAAGAAAGAATTCTTGAGGAGGGACTGGAAGGAGGTGAGAGTAACAGCCTCCGGACTTGTTAAGAGACGGGACAGTGGGGATGTATAAGCCAACAGGTTTGTGCACAAAGGCAGCATCAGTAGGAGTTAAGAGATGAAATAAACTATTTTAAAATCGATCCATAAATTACTGCCTAGAAATTAAAAAATTTACAGATCCATAAAACCCTTTACTAGAATACTCGTGAATTCATACTCTCTGTATGGCATCAAGAGTTCAGAATTTGAGAAGCGTTCCCCAATTTTTGCTTCGCAAGATGTAAAATTAAATAGATGATAGTTTCTCCTAAGGATTTGGCCCTAATCAATGAAGACCAGTTTTAAAGCTACAATGAGCTTGAGTGGAGTACCCGTTTTCACAGAAATCTGTAAACTCTTAACCTGTAGCCCTTATCGTAAGTGGAGGGGATAGGGAAATGAAACCCCACTCGTCAAACCCTGAATAAAAGGAGAGACCTATTTTCGCTTCTCTGCATATCTGGTTGCTCATCCTATACATGCAGCTCCTGCCCAGCTCTAATACCCTGCCCCTCCATACTTAGGGCTTTAGGGATTTTGTTAGTAATCATAATTTTTAAGCTCCGTTGGTTTGTAAACTCATGTTCACATTCTGTGACAACTGCAGAGGTTTTAATATGGTGCGTTATCATTCCCTTATCTGGAATGCAGTGAGCAGTATGACTGCTTTTAATCGGTGTCTGTCCAAAGTAAAACGGTTAGTGTAAACCACCTCCTGTGTTAGTTACTAAAGCCTCTTCAAGATTTATTTTGGTTTGTGGTTACATTTGACCTCGGACTGCTTTACACATCAGGCTGAAAGCTATTTCCCAGATGCTTTTGACTTTAATTCTATTCCCTCCATGAAAATAAAGCACATTGCAAAAAACTTTATTACATAGTCTAGAGGAAGAACAGAGAAATTATTTTTCAGAGTGTAATATAACATTTCTGGTGTATATTTACTTATATTTATTGCTTTATTGCAGATCTTTCACCAAAATTTTAGTCCTTCTATCATCTGTAAAATATGTGGATACCATTTTTATTGTGAATGTTTTTAATCAAATGTTATTCAATCGAATTTATTGGTTGGCAATTTGTCTATAATTTATTTCCCCACTTTTATATAACAAACTGTTACATATGAGCTTACAGTAGTTTTATAGACAGTTTCTTTTTATAACTTACCACCACCCTAGAGATGAGTTCCTACGCAGCCCCAAAAAAGATTCATATCAGATATAATAGAGATTAAGCTGGTTCTTCTAACTCATTCGTGTTGTCTTTTCTTACTTTATTCTTACCACTTTTATCTATCATGCATACCTACTCTGCAATGAATTCTAGCAGTACAAAATTGGATTTGCTCAAAAATTTTTTAGTTGTTAACAATTAAACATAAAAAGAAGATTCTTTATATTTTAAACTACCCACTCCAAAGTAATTTCTTATTGATCACCATCACCAGCCTCTTTCTTACTAAAATAGTCCCTTTTCCTTAAAAAGCATATGAAATCCTATGATCTAAAAATTGGTGGACTCCATGACACTGAAAGCTGTATAATAATTTCATACTGTACTAGGCTGCCTATTTTAATATCTTTATATTGACCAAGATAAATATTTAGATTTGGCACTATTACTAATCACTATTTCTGCAAATAGCGAAAACTACTTTTCAGACTTTCTTAAAAGACAGGATCTGATTGCATGCTTATCTATTTTGTAGGGTTAATCTTTCATTACAATGACAATAACTTTTTCAATTTAATATATAAATATCTCGTATATTATACATATATATATATATTGAATATATAAATATATTCAATTGTGCTTCAGCACCAAACACTGAAGCATAATAATTCAGTGTGTAAAGCATCCTTATCAGGAAAGGAATCCTATGATATATTAAAAATATATATACGCCATACATCAAAATTGTGACAATGACAAAGTATTCCTGCTTGGAAAAGAAAAGAAAAGAAAAAGAAGGGCATTGATCCAACTTCAGTCATCTAATTTAGCCAAGCCTATAGTCAAAGAAAGGACACTGGGTCCTTCAAGGGATGATTTGGAGCATCTTAATTGACTTCCTGTTCTGAACTGCCTGATGGAGAAGTCTCTCTGTCTGCCTCCCATTACCAACAGAGAGGAGCCTAGGGGAAAGAGCTGATGAGGCTTATTACTTTAATATGCTAAGTGTTCTTTTAAGTCTAGCAGTTGACTTTTGCAGAAACAACTCCAATAGTTAAAGTTCACATTTCAGTAATTTTTGTCAGGTTAAGTCTGGTCTGCAATTACACTGGAATCAAATACAAGTCAGTTACTGCCCCCCCCGCCCCCCAAGAAACTTGTCATATACAATCAAGGGTGATCACCTTCTTGAAAAGCCTGTTTATCATTCAAAACTAAAGAAATTTGGGAAAGTCTCAACAAAACTTCCACTAAAAATTCAGAAATCTCAATTATTTCAAATTCAGCATTGCACAAATCCTGTTACTGAAACTGGAGGCAAAGTTCCTTACATTATATGCATACACAAATTTCAGTTTATAGTCTATGTGTGCTGATTAATGTTTACAGAATTTATATATTCTGCAAAAAGAAAATGCTTTTTTACTAGCACTGAGTTAAAGATCTCAACACGTACTTACAATAAAAGACTAATCCCTTTTGTTACCACGTAATTATTTCTAGCCATATTTAGACTAAAAAGACTGTAATTTATAGTCTGACTACTGATGAAACACAATGAACTTCTTTAGGCGTGTTGTAGTTAACGGCAAGGAGTGACCAATAAAAGTAGATAAGTAGTAGACAAGAATTCCATCCTCCTATCCTGCTAGGATAGGCCTTACAGAGGATGTACTAGTCAACCTTGGCAGTACAGAAGAAGGGACGTTTGTTTTATTTAAGAACAGTAGAAAACATACTGTATCAAAACATTTATAGCAAATATAAGTAAACAACCAGACTACTGAGAAACAGGACTGTATAAATTGTTTTGATTGCGAGCGAATGCAAAAGCACTTCTGACAGTATAAAGCTAAATTATAAAAGTATCACTCTTTTTAATCCAACCAAATAGTTACATGTGAAAAGACAGATAACACTTCAGATAACGCTTTTAAAAACTGGAAATTGATGAGTGAGAGGCAAAACCAAACACACACAGATGTCAGTTTACGTTTTTAAATTCTACTTACCTTTTCCCTCTAATTTCAGTGCTATTGTCAGTTCCAGCAGTACTGAGAAAAGAGAATACTGTTCAAATGGAGAACATCTCTGGAACTGAAGCAGAATTTTCAAATACGTCTAACACATTCAAAAAATTTTGATTCTTAAAACTTTGAGCAGCGTATTAAGGCAGTTCTCATTAGCATGCTTCCCCAGTTTCAATTTTCATATGATTTTTAGCTGGTGATGCTTTCTAACCAATAAAGAGTTAATATTCTTAGTTGTTTGAAAGGTGATTTGCAACATTTCAGCTGGTATTATGCATTGTTTTCTGTCTTTTTGATATATTAATCACAACTGTAGCCCCTTCTGTTGCAAATGTTTGATTTTAAAATTGTCACTTGTCAGCCAGTCCAATAGGCTACTTCAGAACCAATACAGTTATGCATGGGAAGTTTGATGTTGAAACAATATTTATTTACATTCCCAGAGTGAGATGGTTTAATATATTCATGCTGCTATAAAAGACATGCTACAAAGCCTAATCGTATTTTGTGTATATACTATGTGTACAGAGAATCTTGCTTGTATTAAAATAAAAGAGAAATGAGGTTCTAAGTATCCATTTATAAACCAGTTCTTTGTAAAGTGTTTCATGAAGCACTATTTAACGAAGCATTAACTATTGGTAAATCTCCATAGAAACTACTTTTCCCCAAATTCACAATAGTTCCTATCTATTTTACGTATGTTTGCATTTCGTAAAGCAGCTTACTGCCCCTCCCAGAGAAACCCCGTTCCTACGCTCGCTGCACTGGATAAGCGACTCGCACGAGGAACGAGCGAGCAGACAGCAGTATTGAGCGAACGCACTTGTCATTCATGCGCTGACCTGCTGTAAATACAAAGGCAAACGGAGACTTAAAAATGATACTGCCCTTCCCCCTGCCATGACTTTCTTCCTGCAACCTGTGGCTCTTTCCCAGCAGAAGAGGCGGCAGGTTTTATCGCTGCCATAGCAACTCCGCTGTCAGCCTGTTGGCTTGGCAACCTCGCTTGGCAGCAAGGAACACACTTCGCCTCTGAACTGTTCTTAGACTCACCCAGGTTATTTTTTTCAGGTTGCGGTCCTAAATGCTTACTTACTGTTCGATTTAACAAATTTTGCAATAAAAAATCCTATACAGTCCTTATTTGCCAGTGAAATCAGATCATCCTCCCTGGAACCTTGCAGAGAGTTCATATCCATTCCTTGCAACGTCGCAGCAGATGGATCAAATCTCTGCAGCAGCTTCAACTGATCAAGCGACAGTCCAGCTCCCCTCATGCCTTCTCCTCCAATATGAGGTTCCTTTTTCGGTTACAAAGGAAAAAAAAAAGGAAAGTTCTTAAGTGCCCTAACTGTATTCCGCCGAGTATATGCAGAGCTGCTTGACTGTTAAGGTGGAAAGCTAGGTTTATATTGTTCACACCAGGGGAGGATTTAGAAGTGATGTGGCCCTTCTTTTCTTGCCTCCATCTGGCCAATATGTATACCAGCATGGATACAAGGTCCAAAGTACTTTGAGGAGGTGGTGGTGCACCTAATCCACTTTAGCTCAGTAGTTTAGAGCACTTATTGAGGACAGGTACACAGGTATAAATCAATTAATTACTCCAAGGACTGGAACATCACAAGAAAGCTGCTATCACCAGACAACAGTAAGTTCTAATGGTTTTAGGTCTTCATATTTAAATGATGCAGCACTTCTGTGTACTGACTAATAGCTATGAGTTAAGCCAAAAATAGCGATTCCTTAGCCAGTCACAGTAGTAGAAATACCTGGATTCACATTAAAAACTTCAAATGGAGAGACTGAAAGCTCAAATGCAGAATACTTTACTGCCTGAAGAGGCATTATTTTGGAAGATGATGCAGCAGAAAAATCTGACCTTCAGTTTTCCTATGTCATGTAATTAGACTAACAGTTAAATGGGACTACTGTTACAAGTGTACGTATATGAGGCAGAGAAAGAAAGAAAGGAACAGCTTAGGTATCTGAATTCAGGAGATGACATTTGGCATCAAAATCCTGGAGAGGAAAAGGGCTTAAAATCACAGCCCTCTTCTCAGCATTTCTTGTGAGTAGCCTTGACTGCTTTTTATTTAATAGTGATTCCTGGGAAAATCTAATTCCTAGCTGGATTGTTCTTTCAATGCATTCAGTAGAGATAGAACAAAATGTGCAAAACCTGGCATAGCAATACCAAAAATAGATCTCCTTTGTAAATCTAGTCTAATATAGTCTATAATGCAGCCCACAGAAGAGCATTTTTTGAGCCATCACACTTTGCTAACATGAGCTCACCCAGTCAGCACATGATGCGAGTTAGTTGCTTATATACGTACTGTGTGCTGTAAAGCTGGGCACCCAAGAGGCTGGAGCCTGATTCTTTCTCTTCCTTTCCTTCAGCAGGATTTCAGTGCTTTCCAGTTAAAAGACAAAAAGAGGTGTCCATTGCAAATTGAGAAAAAAATAACAGAAGTAGGGTAGACAGGGATACTGACTTGAAGTAACGTAATAGGAGGATGGAAAGGTAAAAGTCAAGGGAAAAAAGTATTACACAAGGTCAGGCAATTCGCGCAAAGACAGACCAATTTTTTCCTCTACCTTTTCCTTTTTCCTTCCAGTAAAGTTACTGCATTTAAGCTGATACACAATATCTCCTGTGTAAATCCCTAAGAAGAAGTAAGCCTGCGCAGAAAAAGGATCACCTGCCATGCAGTAACCTCCACCTACGATATCAACACCTATGGCTCCATCTCCTGTTTTTTCCGTACCGAACATGATTCCAGGATCCGTGGCCAAAGTGAGAAAGTGGGAGACAGGACTGGGTATAAAGCAGGTGTGCACTGAAAGACTGAAGAATATGGGAAATACATAAAGGAGCATGAGGTAAGTCAACCCTAGACTCCAGTTTCCTGTTTGTTGGAAAAGATCATCTTAGCTTACATTACGGAGGAACCGGTTATAAGATACGACAAACTATCTGTGGATAGTTCAGTGTCATCTCATCTAAAATATACTATACACAAAAGCTTATTTTTTGCAGATATGGCATTTGTGTATGAAAAATAGTGCTTTATTCAAGACTGATATTACTGGTGAGAAGTCTATTAAACCAGAATTAATCTTGCATTTGTGTTCAAAGGGCTTGTGTTCTGCTTTGTCATTCTGTTGAGGACGATATTTATGCTGTAAAATGTATAATCTCAATTGAAATAGCTGGAACTGAAAAACGGATGGTGAGAAAGCAGGCAGAAGAACCCTGACATGCAAATCTTTTAAAAAAAGCTTCAGTTCTGTTAAGTCTTTACCAGCCTTCATATAATTTCTCATTGTACACCTTTTGTATATATTTTTTAAGTTCAGTTAAAAGATGCATTTAAACTTAAGACAGATACAAGTCATCACAGAACATATAAGTAAGCTAAACGGGTATCACAGTTAGACTTTTCCTCAAGGCCATAAACAACTAACCCACCCAACTCATCACATCAACAAAGAGGAAGAGGGACACGTATGGTCTGATGATAAACTCTCTCAAGCTACTAATAAAAGTAACAGATTTTTTAAATGTATGTAGTATAAATAAAAAAATATAGTATCTCCCTATATATTACCTCCTCCCAGACATCTTAATAATAGACATTGACTCCAAAAAAGACAAGGTACATTCTTGGCACACTGAGCCTGAAATAAAGTTATTCCTTCATTCCTTTAAATAATGCAAAAATAGCTCTCATACATATAAAATCCTCCTTCCTCAAAACACAAGGTTCTTTCCATTTATCTCCCATTCTTTATGCAAGACTTCACTACCTCAGTAACATTAATAAAAATTTTTTCACCTCTCCTATGAATGTGCAAAATGAGAAAATAACATATATGCATTAAAAAAGAATTGTGAGAGAAATTGTAACCTGTCTGAGCTATCTTTTGTCCCTGTTGTGTTTTAAAAAACTGTTGTGCAAATTAAAACAACCACAGTACACAGTGGGAAACTACTTAATGTTCCCTAAATGAAGCTCAATTAAACACGAATATAGATTTAAATGAGCCTCAGAAATCCTTGTGTTATTTCTATCCACAGCAGCTAAAATTGTCTGCAGTGAAAAAGAGATTTATTGACAGTAAATATGGCGTGTAACTTTACAGTGCCAAAACAAGCTCACTGGATTGTGTGAAGTACCTGAAAATACTATTACCTGTGGCTGAAGCTGGAGGCACGGAAAAGTCTTCAGGGCCCAAGCAACTTGTTCCTCATTTTCAGAGAGTGTAATCGTACATGTACTATATACTAAAACACCTCCTGGCTTCAGCAATTTCACTGCCTGCAGAGAGAAATAAACAATAGTTCAGCTTATTTTTAAATGTAAAAACTTTCACATGAAGCAACATTGACCAAGAAACTATTAGGCTATAATATTAAAGCTTAGCACTTAATTAAACTTTCTAAGATAGGCATTAGGATACTAATTCTTCTCAGGGAATATAGTAAAGGATCCCATGGATTAGAAAGGTTCTTCTTTCCAAATCAGCATTATAGCTCAGGCAGTTTATTAATGCCATTGAGATGATTCACTTTGTAAGATTTGTTATTTGTACAGTTCTCCATATCCCAGACAGATTAGTTCTGTTTTTCATCACCTGCTGCCAACCATGCGTACGCGATATTTTTATCAGTGATATTAGATGTCAACTATTTCCACATATTTGGCATGGAAGCTGTATCTATGCTGCTTTCTCAAGCAATCAGTTTCACTTTGAATACATATAAATCAGATTTAGACAAGTTTCATGAAATCTTACCTTTCAGCATCAGCCCAAGCACACTCCTACTAGCATGGAAGGTCGTAATATGGCCTCCTGGCTTTGTACTCCATCTCATATTCTATAAGTACCTCACAGCACCACTGTATGGGAGTTCTACGCAGCAAACTTAAAATAGCCTGTGCTGCTGCAGAGAAAAGACTTTACCCTGCTCGATGACCTAGAACCTTGTGATTATTATGAATTAAACCTGATTACACTGAAGGAATAAAAACGGGGTTTTGTTTACTATGGCTCACATATTCCTTTCCCATGCTCCAGTGAATTGACTTCACCTAGCAACAGCTATGGTGGAGCTGAGAGGTTAACTGAATCCCAACACTAACTTCTTTCCTTAACTGCAGAAAAGGTAGCGAAAACGAGAGACCATTTTTTGGTATGAAGCTGCGAAAGCATTTGTGTTCAATTTAGCTTTTCTACTCAATGATTAATACATACCACTGTGAAAAGCTTGCGCTGTAGTGGCTGATAAGAGGTCACTTCCTTTAAAGTCCAGGAATAAGCCATGTTTGGTCTCTGTCCCATCCCACTACATGGAGCATCAAGAAGAACTCGATCAAATGACTCTGGTAAGAACGGAGGACCTTCTGTAAAAAGCAGTTAGCAATATAAAATGTGGCTGTTTCTATCCTCGAGACTTCACCATAGATAAGGACAAACTCTTACTGCTTTCTTGTCATAAAACATTTATGTTTATTATGATGGTGTCTGCAAAAGTAATCTCAGTTAGAGACAAGTCTCAGCACTGCTGGTGGTAGATTTCATCTCCCAGAAAACTAAAGAGTTTTAGTTCTGTTTTTTCAAACAATACACGGTCCCTTTAAGCAATAATATTTTTTAACCTTAAGTTAATAAGTGGAAAGTAAAATGTAAAAGTAAAGAAACAAAATGTTGAAACATGATTGGTCAGAGGTGCTGGGTACAGAGTTGTACATATAGGCTGTAATGAACCACAGTCACCTCATAACTGAACTGAGTGTGCAAATCTTTACTGAGAGAAGCCTGTAGTTAACCATTAAGACTGCCTTAAATAATAATAATTGGACTGTCTATATAACTATTTCTCACGATGCATATATATCTGTAGAAAATAAAGCACTTCACAATTACATGAAAGATTACAAGTTCTAATGTGTGACACATGCTGTCTCCACAGCAGAATAATTCAGTAAACGAGGATTGTGAAGACAAGAACAATTTCTCAATGTTACATGGATAAATAAGGGAATGTGTACCTTCTCTATGCAGAGCCTATCCTTTCATCTGAATCCCACTGGTTCAACAGCCCAAAATTTTCTATGGCCTTAGTGCTAGAGAGTGCTCAGCTCAGCATCACCGAGACAAAAGTGGCTCCATATGTGTATCTGTGAGTAACCAATGAGGAAGAGCCATATATACGCTTTACCTCCTTTTCTCCTTCTGTTCCTCAGATATTCAAGTTAGGTCACAAGTGAAAAGAACTGGGTGACTTCATACTACTGCCACCTAGCTTGTTCCAGCACTACCAAATGAGTCTATTTTGGCACTACTGATTTATTTACCTCGGATCCATTACTACAACATTCAAAATATGGCATGTCTTACTTGCAGGGATGTACAGAGAAGCCTTCATGATCTCTCAGAATTACAGCTAGCTCTCGTTCAGCTGTGTTAAGTGCTACATACCACCTACAATATTTTACGTACATAGAAAGACTATTAAGAAAGTACCTTTATTCCTGCAAAGCAGGAATAACTGCAAGGCATAGGGACAAGGGAGGTGAATTATGCAACCTGATTCCTACTTAGGCTGACCAGTGACTGGGACAAAATAGGGTGATGAGGAACAGCATACTTTGCACAACAAACTAAAAATAATCACGACAGCAGATACCCCTTTAAATCGTTCCATCATGGGAACAGAACCAGTATCATAAATACGGCACTTCAGAAAAGCAAATCAAATGAACTTAAAATAATACACTGTGCTTCCATAGAACTTTCCCCTAAACAGCTGAGCAAACATGAATGAACTAAACCTTGCAGCACTCCTGGGAGTTAGGTATTAATAACCATATTTTACAGATGAGGATTCTAAGGCAGAAATGCGAAGCAATTCTGCAAAAATAATTTTTTTTCGCAGACCAAGTCAAACAATTCAGAGTATGGGGTTAAACATTATCATGAAAGAAGTCATTATCATGACTTCTTCAATCTTTGATATTATCTGGGAATGGAATGCGTTTCCTTTGAGCATATTAGGTTGTGATATGGACACATAGTTTGAGTTTTGTATTTGCTTCATGGAGATGCTGACAATCACAAAAAAGTAGAAATAAAAGAGCATTCACAATGCTGAAGCAACCTAGGTATCTGGCAAAATTTCAAGGACGTGTAGACCTGTGGCAGGTTTAATACTATTAGTGCAAAACCGATTACTATTTTCTTCTAAAAGCTACTGCTATCCAAGTTGTTTACCTTGTTCATCCTCTCTCTTCTCAACTGAAAGTGCCTTTGTTCCATCATAGCAAAATGCCTTAATACAATTTAACTGTAGCAATTCAGAATTCTCCTTAATTTTTTTGACCTTCTTAGCTATCTTGTCCATGGCTATTACTTCACCCTGAAAAATAAAAAAAGAGGTTTCACTCATAGAATCACAGAATACCAGGTTGTAAGGGAACTCAAGGTTGATCTGGTCCAACCTTTCTTGGCAAAAGCACGGTCTAGGCAAGATGGCCCAGTAACCCGTCCAGTTGAATTTTAAAAGTGTCCAATGTTGGGGAATTCACCACTTCCCTGGGGAGATTATTTCAATGGCTGATTGTTGTCATTGTGAAAAATTTTCTTCATGTGTCCAATTGTAATCTCCACAGGAGTAACTTCTTCTCATTACCCCTTGTCTTTGCCATGTGACTAGTTGTAAAAAGGGAGTCTCGATCTTCTCTGTAGCCACCCTTTAAATACTGGAACATAGTGATAAGGTCTCCCCTAAGCCTTTTCTTCAAGGCTGAACAAACCCAGTTCTCTCAGCCTTTCCTCATACAGCAGGCTTCCCAGTCCTTCAGTCATCTTAGTGGCCTTTCTCTGGAGACTCTCCAGCCTGTTCACATCTTTCTTGTACAGCTGAGACCAAAACTGAACACAGTATTCCAGATGTAGCCTGATGAGCGCTGAACAGAGTGGAATAACAACTTCCTTATCTCTGCTGGCGATACCCTGGTAGATGCAACTCAGCATTCTGTTGGCTTTCTTTGGCACAGCAGCACACCATTCGGTCATATTGAGCTTGCTGCCCACCAGGATCCCCAGGTCCCTTTCCACAGAGCTGCTCCCCAGCTGGGTAGATCCCAGCCTGTGCTGCACTCCTGGATTATGTCTTCCCAGATGCAAGACCTTACGCCTGTTCTTGTTGAACTTCATAAGGTTCTTGTTAGCCCACTCTTCGTGCCTATCCAGGCCTTCCAGCATCTCCCTTCCCCACTCAGTTTGGTCTCATGAGCAAACTTCATCAGGGTACACTTGATCCTGTCATCCAGATCACTTACGAAGACATTAAACAGCACTGGGCCCAGTATTGATCCCTGGGGGACCCCACTTGTGACAGGTTGCCAGCTTGAAAAGGACCTATTTACCACCACCCTCTGGGTGCAGCCTGTCAGTTTCATCAGAAGCACAGGGATTAAATGGATGTACAGTTCCCGATTTCCTCACCCCCTCCCCCCCCATGAGCAGTGTAATGAATGAAGCTTAGTTTTCCCTAGAGAATTTTGTTATTCTTAAATCCACACTCCAGTAGTCCTTGTTCTCCCCTATTTTCCATGATACCTGCATTAGCCTAGATACTAGCCTGAAGCTGTGTGTGTTCTGAGTGGCAGTGGCCGGTTGGCACAGTCGCTCCCTAAGGGACCCTATAATGTCTGACTTCTGGCAAGTGGGGTTTTTTGTTTCTTTCTTTTTGTTTGTTTTGAACTGTTTTACTCAGCACTAAGTTAGGTAAAAATGTAACCACTTGAAAGAGGGCAGAAGTCTCAAATACATGGAAAATAGGTCAACAACTTTTAAATTTGGATGGAGATGGTTGAAAACGTGATCACGTACAGCTCAGTCCAGAGGAACGATGCCCACAGCCATGCCTCTGGCTTGGTCAGACTCATAACATACTGTTATACTTCCAGTAGTTGTCACTCAAGTTACTTTGGGAAATATGGTAAATACTAGAATAAATTTAGACATGGTGGGGGAAGGGAATCACAATTATACATCATGCCTTTTATGTAAGAATAAGATTTCTCTTTTTCTTTCAAGATAAATCAAAACAGACACACACCATTATATGCTAGATGAAATCTGTAAACACAAAGGAAAGAAAACATTTTCAGTAGCATCAGTAAAATCCAGAACAGTAATACTACCTTCAAAAACCCCAAAGACCAAAAGCCTCTACTAGACTTGCTATAGCAATTAGAACCTGCTGAGAAAACGACAACTTTTTCCTACTTGGTGATAGCTCTCTAGGGGCTTATGGAAAGGCAACACGACAGATAGACTGTGTTTAAAAAAAAACAACCACAAACCACCAACAAAAAAATCCAAACCAGTAAACATAAGCTTTTCGCTATATGTCATGTTAGCCAATATGTAGGTCTAGGACTCAGAAGTAAAAAAGGACTTAAGGTATGTCAGTGGTGTCCAGCCTTCAGCTACTGTGAGCCAAACCACCTCTTCCAGGAGCACTTAATGACCATGTGCCACCGCTTCTCCCCTGTCACCATTCAACCTATTGCCCATAGAATTATTTAGGTAGGAAAAGACTTTTAAGATCATTGAGTCCAACTGTTAACCTAGTACTGCCAAGTCCACCACTAAACCGTGTCTCTAAGTGCCAGATCTATATGTCTCTTAAATACCTCCAGGAATGGCAACTCAACCACTTCCCTGAGCAGCCTGTTCAATGCTTCCAACCCTTTCAGTGAAGAAATTTTTCCTAATATCCAATCTAAACCTCCCCTGGCGCAACTTGAAGCCATTTTGTCTCACCCTAGCGCTTGTGAGAAGAAACTGGCCTCCACCTCGCTACAACCTCCTTTCAGGTAGTTGTAGAGAGCAACGAGGTCTCCCCTCAGCCTCCTTTCCTCCAGGCTAAACAACGCCAAGTTCCCTTAGCTGCTCTTCATCAGACTTGTGCTCTCCAGACCCCTCACCAGCTTCACTGCTCTTCTTTGGACATGCTCCAGCGCCTCAATGTCTTTCTTTTAGTGAGGGGCCCAAAACTGAACACAGTATTTGAGGTGCGGCCTCACCAGTGCTGAGTACAGGGTGACAATCACTTCCCTAGTCCTGCTGGCCACACTATCTCTGATACAAGCCAGGCTGCTGTTGGCCTTCTTGGCCATCTGAGCATGTTGTCAGCTCAGATTCAGCTGGCTGTTGACCGATACCCCAGGTCCTTCTCCACCAGGCAGCTTTACAGCCACTTACACAGACACACTAACCATTGATTGTGCTTGGAAGTTAGGATTGTTGCTAAAACAGCGAATTTGCTGTACATGTGCTCTACTGTGGGTGTAAGTCCTTCTTCCGAGAGACTCTGAGAAAAAAGAACGAGGTGTAAGACAACAGTTCTTCCCCATGTGGCCCATCCCAGCCACTGCCAGAACAACTTCCTGAAAGACATCTGGAAAACAACACTGGACTAGACTGGGATCCAGATAACAATAAATTCTCAAGTTTTAGCTATTCCCAATTCCTATTTAAAAGCTCTTAGCCATACGAGGTAATTTTACATTTCAATTAGCTCATCTAAAAACAATGTATTAATTTTTTAAATTAAATAACGAAAAAAATATGATTGATTCAAATATTCCTGAAATGTTAATGATTTAATACACCATCTATGGAAATTTAGTACAGAAAATCTGTGAATGGACCTTAATCGAAAAGCAGTGCAAATTTACTAAAGGAACAAATGTTTTTTGCCTTATCTTAAATTAAAATAATATACTCGGAAAAGGAAAACTAATTCAGATAAATTTCAACATCTGTATTCTTAATCTTTACCACTTCAGCTGGGGGTAAGCAAAATTAAAATATCTAAAATGACTAAAGGAAAAAAGTTATACAAAGTTATACAAAATGTACATATATAGATGGAAAAAGTACAGATGTAAATAAATCCATAGCAGAAATATATGCTTTTACAGACTTCCTTTATTTATCACACTGAAATGCTTTACTGGAAGCTGTATAAATCTATCTAATAAATGCCTAATTACTGTCTAATGCATGTTTGTAAACTCTCCATACTAAAGGGATGAACACTTTAGTAAGTAAACCATCACAGAACTGACTACCTGTCTTTTCCTAAATACATTCTCATCATTATTGACTGCACCTTCCCATTAATGCACAGACAATTGTTGAAGTACTGCATAATATAACTGCAAGATTTCTAAATAATCTGATAAATTCTAATTACACTATTCCAACAAAAATAATAATGCCATACAAAATTTTTAGAGGAAACATTAAACATTTTTCCCCTTTTTGCTAGAAAAGAGTAACCTGCATTTCTGTCTTCCATTTTGCATATAGCAATTTGATATGTACAAATTGTTATTCCTATATCCACATTCTTTTTGGCTTGTGTATTATTTTCCTTTGTCTTTCTCTATATATTTTTTGTTTCTTCTCATATTGTTACTTTCTCATAAGATATTTTTAATGTTGTGACCTTTTACCTTAGAATGACAAATTCAGACTAGAAATTCAGTCTAAAATAAAATCGGTACTGCATAATTGATAATATTTACTGAGAAGAAAGTTAATTGGGGTAGGAAGTTTTTACTATGTTCTTGTATAGAGTTGTGCATTCTTTTGGCACACAGTAGTAACCCCTGCTTTCCATATATTCTCAGTTTCATGAATCCAGCATATTCATGAGTAACTTTACCTTGCATATTTCGAATTCTTCCATTACAAATAAATCAATAACATTTAAAAAGTGAAATCAAACATTTTTCAAAAGGTCAATTTTTCAGAAAATAAGGTTTTAAATGTGATGGTGACTACTTGATAAAGACAGTCTGTGCCCATTTCAGTAACTCTTATGCGTAGCAAAATACATTGGTAAGCAGAACATTAAAATATTAATTGTTTGATGTTGTAAATTATCTGTGCATTCTGACAGCTAAGTGAAGCAAGCTCTGCAAATGAACAGTGGTCAGACTTTTTTCACTAAGACAGAAATGCTCAATGATTTCTCTTACCTGATCATGCATTAATATTCCAAGATGGGTTGTTTTTCCTCCAGGTGCAGCACACATATCCAAAATTCTCTCTCCTGGTTGAGGGTTTAAAATATGGCTCACAACCACAGAAGGCAAGTTCTAGCATAAAAACAAACACGGGAAGTTCATGTCCTATATCAAGTCCTATATTAAGGAATGACAAACTCAGTGAAACAAAAATTCAATCAGCAGTGAAGATACCCATTATTTTGCTGTCAGTTCCTTAACAGAAAATGAACTATATGGATTATATAAAAAAAACAGCATAGGTCAGAAGTCTCCAGCACTCGTTTTTTATTTAAAGCTATATATGACTATCTGTGACTGAATTTTAAGGGTTCATGACTATGGAAACTACAGTGCTAAAAGTCAAAATAAAAGAAGCTGATGCTATCATAGACACAGATCAGCTCTGTATATTACAAATATTTTAAATTCACCTGTTTATTGGAACATTTACTATATGAACACACTGGTGTAGTATAGTAACGAACAGTAAGGAGAATAGGCAGGAGTTTAAACTTGCCAAATTAAGGCACCAAGAAGCTGAACTGCACTATTAATCGTATAACAGAATCATATAATCGTGGAACAGAGCAGATGTACTGAAGAGAAATAATATGCAAGAATTGGGCACAGTACTGCACTTTACACAAGACGGAAATATGCTGAAAGATTCTCTTCTAACTTGGTTCAACACAAAGGTATAAAACCCATTTAAAGTTGTCTTTACTACATGTTGTCTTTGGTTACCACAGTTTCAAGTTCCATAACGCAGCGTTCAAAAAAATCAACAATAACTCATCTCACACATGGCAAATTCAAGTCAAAAAGAGCGGGGCTCAGAGGGTTGTGATCAATGGCACAAAGTCCAGCTGGAGGTTAGTCAACAGTGGTGTACCCCAGGGGTGGACACTGGTGCCAATATTATCTAACCTCTTCCTCAGGGACCTGGGTAATAGAACAGGGTGCACACTAAACAGGTTTACAGAGGATGCAAAACTGGAAAGACTGGTTGATAAACTGGAAGGTTGTGCTGCCATTCAGAGGGACCTTGACAGGCTGGAGAAATGGAGACACAGCAATCTCATGAAGCTCAACAAAGAGAAAGGGTAACTCTGGCAGCTGGCGCACCCCACGCACCCATACAGGCTGGGGCTGCCTGGCTGGAAGGCAGCCTTGCAGAGAAGGCCCTGGGGATCCTGGTGGACAAAAAGTTGAATATGACCTAAATTCTCATGTGCACCAGTCTCTTAAATAACCCGCCTCCCTAACAATTCTGTTCCTTGAAAGCAAGTACTGTGATAAGCTGCATCAGGGAAATAAAGCCTCTCCTTTACTACAGGCCATGAGGCAATATGTTGCTTGAAAAACTACCCCTTGCACACACTGGAAGACAGCATTGATGCTGACTTAAAAATACTAAGATCAATTCCAAACAGAATATATGCATAAAAATAACTCATCTGCTGGACTGACTCTTCTGACAAAAGAAATGACTAAGACAATTCACTGTAACAAAGCACTTACCTTACTGTCTGAGAGAGTTATACAAATCACGGTTATTTTGTTCAGGTGGATTTTTTTCATTAGAGCTAAAAAGATATGATTTTCTGTTCAACTTGAAGTCAACCTAATATTTGGCGATTTTCTTGATTATCTACAGAGGGAGGTACCTTGAAAGAGGCTTATATTTCAGAGCTCATAGACAGATTCCAAGACTTAAAAGTGCTATGCAGAGTATCTGTGCAAGAAGAATTTCTAAGTTTTAAGTGAGTATCTCTTAAGTCACTTTGAAGTCTCTTATCATACCTCAGACATGGTACGATTAAATCACCTACACGTAGATACTGATTTCATTCTAAATTATTTGTTTTCTTTAAATTCAAAGAGCAAATCAGGTGCCATAATACACAATGAATATACAAAGTATTAATGTGTGCTTAGAGGATATTCATTATTCTGCAAATAGTACAGACTTTTATTTTTGTAACAAACATACCTGTAAAAACAAATGACTAGGGAGCACATTGTCAAACGAAGGACTAAGGTAGACTGGCTCTATCATTCTTATGCCCATCCCACTGAAAAACACATAAAGAATATTTCAGCTACTCAGATCTATAATTTTTAACAGTATTCAATTAAAATCAATATGCTTACAAATAGAAACTTGAAACAGTAATTGTACAAAAATGAAAGCACTTATAAATCAACTAAAAAATACTTCTACAATTTTGTAATCTGTTATTCTTTAAAATTACGTCATTGACTTGGGTAAACCATAACAAAAAATGTACTACATTATAAATTGGAACTATCTGTAAAAATTGCATAAAGCAAATTTACCTTTTTTGTACACAAGACAAACTGAGATCTAATCTAAGCCTTGATAATGTAAAGAAATGCATAAAAAAAGATTTAAATATGTTAATTTCAATCCATAACTGCTTTTGGCTAGCCATGTATACACTAGGGCATTGATCGTTCTTAGATCTTCCCTTCATTTTTCTAGACTGTCTGAGATTTCAGTCAAACAACTAAAGAAACTCTACTTCAAAAGTCGTACAGGAACATTAATTTGCCTGCAAGGCAAAGGTCTGAACTTAGAAGCAATCTAAAATTTTTAAATATGGATGAAGTTCTGACACAGATCTCATTAAGTTAAGACAAATGTATACAGAAATGAACATCAATAAAAAGAAAAACAAGATAAAAACAATACTGAGCCTGAAAACAATAGATTACTGAAGATATTAAGAATGAGTATTATTTTGCATATGCACTGCACATTCCAACATGAAGAAGGAAAGGTATGAGAAGGCAAACTTGCAGACACCAGATTTAGTGTTACACACTGCCATCCCACATCATCAACTCAACAGGTATATCCTACTGATACTTCTGCTATATTTAAGCTCTAATAAATCAGAAATTCTCTGACAATGTAAACTTTTTTACTAGATCTTTTGTAGTTTGTCCTTGGGATGTAAAGTCTCAGTCATTAATTTGATATGCACACTCTTCTATCCTGCTTTTTGTATGTGTTTTAGATGACAGAAGAGGAACAAACCATATGCTTTGGCAACAAAATAGAAAAGCAAGTAATCTTGAAACAGATAACTATCTTGGCAAATGTTATTAATTCTTTTAAGATATCTGACCTTAAGTTCTGTCCCCTGCCCCACCAAAAAAAGTCCCTACAAATATTTTTAGGAGATGGAGAAATAGACAAGGCTGCACTTTACATTGCCACTACCTTAATTGTGAAGTTACAGAAGACAGCAGGAAGCACAATTCTATTATACTCCCAGAAACTAACGCTTCCCAGAAAATACTGGAACTCCCATCATGCAACGCAAGTCTCAGTCAAAGCCATCCTGTGGTTTCACATAGGGTGCAGAACATTTCAAAATGTCTTCCCATCTTCTTCCTTCCCTTTGCAATGTTGTAGGTGTAGATTGCACTTACTACAGACTTACTTCAATGGGCCACTTGAACTAAAGATTTCACTGCGACTCAGTTGTGAAATCCCATTTCCAAGGAAAACTTTGACTCCTTCAAATTCTTTGGCTCCTCTTTTACATTTTCCTTCAATATCTGAATACACTGAGACCAGATCTCCAGCTTTCATAACTGTGCAAAGAAAGGAAATTTTGAGATTAATATTATACTTGACAAGACGGTGGTGACAAAATAATTTAGGATTTTCAGTAGACTACCAACTTCAACTCCTATATCATAGCAAAACTTAAACTTTCTTAATGTAATCAAAGAAAAAGATTAACTGATATTAGGCTTTAAAGTGTACGTGGTGATCAATGGCTACCAAATGACTAGAGCTATTAAGAGACCCAAGATTACAAATCAGACAGCGTGTCTCGTTTCCCAAGAGGCTAGACAAATCTTCACTTTATTTTATCACCACAGGGTCACCCATAGGTTTTAGGCACATTCTTCAGGATTCAGTCTTCTGTGAGCGCTCCAAGCGCACATGTACATCAAACAACACTGGTTCACACTTACTGTACAAAGACAACAATACTAAATTTGTCTAATGACCTCTCAATAGTTAGGTGGAACACAGCTATACCTGCTTTTTCTCAAACTATTGTTTTGATACAAGTGATTATATATTCTTGTTGAAACAATATTTCTGGTGTGGCTCTTTTCCCTCTAAGGCAACTGCTGTTCTCTATAATCCTCTAAAAGGGTTTTACCTCTCAAATTAAAACCTCCAGATCACTAAAGTATGTAAATATACACCAAACTCTAGAATTGTAGTCCTAGGGACTTAATAATTTTCTGACCTAGAACAAAAATAGATGGAAAAGGAGGATGGTTTAGGTGATTTTGTAGAACAGTGAGCAAGCTCTATGCACTGACTGGCTGAAAAATATGCTTAAAAATAAAGGCCTCCACTGACAGCAATAAACAATTTTCCAAAATTACGTTTCTGATGTGTCCGACTTGCTGCTGCAACCAGAAGATATTACAAGTAAGACTAATGATAGTTCAGCTTCCCAACAATTCTTTGAACTGTATTTAGGATTTTTTTTTCCATTTTCAAGTGTCCTCTGAGTATGCACAAATACCCCGGAATTCTTAAATAGTATGTTTGTTGGGTAGCCACTAAACTTTTTTGCATAGCTTCTTTTTACACAATCTGACATAAAACATTATGTGATAGCCTACTGTTATTGTCTGCTTAAACTTCACTGAACAAAAACTTGCAGCAATTTAATTCTTCCATCAAGCGTATTTGTCAATGACTTTTTGCAGTATTCAAACCAAAAGGATTTTATTTCACTCTCTGCTGACAATCATCCTTTCAAAATGCATTAATACTGTGTACAGTTCTTAAGCTTTTTGTAGCTTATACTGGCATTCCATAAACATAAAGCTTAGAGTCTGATTAGTTAAATTAAACTCAAAACCCCCTGATAATTAGTCTACCCTCATTTGGGTTGCAAGTTCAGTGATTAAATGTCTATTCTTGCTATACTTTTTTTTTCCCTAGTTAGACCATCTGTGCTTAATACGGCCTTTTTATATTTGGCCTCAAGTGGGTAGCATGCCTTTTTATTTTATTTTCCTATCTGCAATTCCCCTGAAGTGTTGCTAAAGTTTTATAGTATCTTTTCTTTTCTTTGAATTGATGTTGCATGGATAATGACATGCAGCAATTATGATAAATCACTAGTTGACTCAAAGAGGGATTTGAATATTTATGAGGTTGTCTAAAACAGCAGTTTCAAGAACTGCTACAGCAATATACTTATTTCATTATCAAGTCCTGAATTGAAAAACATTCCTGTTCAGTGAATTGGACTTAAGCACATGTTTAAAACTTCTCAAAGGTTTTTTCCTGAAAGGGAATGAAGTTAAGTGGCTAGATAAATGCTTTCCTGAATCAGTTTGTTTAATAATAAGAACCATGATGATTAGTAGATGTCATCACAATAGAATAATGAGGTGAATCATCCAAAATTATACTGGTTTCACATAAAGTTAATTTGACCTTTAAATAAAAAATAAATAGGCTGCTGAACACTACACGTGTATATGTAGATTTTTTATCCTGTTTCGCAGGCATTGAAACAAAAATTTCCATTTCTTAAGAATCTGACATTAAAATTGAGGATTTTTCTCATAAATAGAAAAAAAACTTTTTACTAGATCTCTCAAACACAAACAATATCAAATGAATCACCAATGGATTAAAAAATTAAAATCTGTTTTTTTAGATCTGTAACTTAGAATCTGACAGGATGATGAAGGCAAGGGGCTTGGTGACTGCATGAAGAAATACCGTATCTGGAAATAGTATCTATTAAATAATCAACAAACATCCAGTTCCTATACTGATATATCTCTTGTAACATTCCTTTTATTATTTCTTTTTTCTTTTGAGAAGACTGGAAAGCAGCAAACTTCTGCAAGTTTATTCTACTGAACATCGATGGTAAAAGTTACAATATTCAGTGGTAAAAAAACTTTTAAAATGCCGGGTTTTACTTTGAACATGCACTTTAAAAAGGTTTTCAAATGAAAACAAGAAACTGAAATCCTTGAGAACTAATACTTCAGCTAGGAATTACATATGGAAAAATGAACTTAAAACAGGCCAGGTGAAAAATAACTACATATAACTTATTACCAGTATAATGCAAAAATAGTGAAAAGCTCCCCCAAAAGTGAGAAAAACTTAAAAAAAACCATTATCTATCATAATTTACAACTATAAGATTAATTTCAGCTGTGAATGGAAAAAAAAATAATGTCACTAATTATTGGAAATTGTCATCAAGGGGTGATATTTTTTCCTTCCTCTTTACAACTTAACTGTGTGTATTTAGAGAACTCTTACATCTTGAGGTAGATATGATTCCAGGGACATAAACATGTGCTCCTCGAAGTACTGCATATCCACAGTGGGCTCCAACAATGACTTCAGATGCATGTTTTTTTAAATCTCGCCTGAAAATACAAAATGTAGTTCAGTTTAAAAAAAAAAAAAATAACCCCACAAGTAAACTCTAGTTCATAAATACTGGTTTTGTCACAATATAATAGAAAAGATAGTTAACTATCATGTATTACATTTAGAAGATTTATTTTCATTCCAGAGGAATCAAAGGGAAGAGCCAACAAGGACACCAGTCCTCAAAATAAAGCAGATTCAGATACATTCTGCCATTATTATGAACCTGACACAGGAATACAAATAAACTACACTGGGATGGAGAAATAATCCTCTATCCCTTCCCAGGCCGTATGACTGTAAAGTGACTTTTTTGTGTTTAACTACTGCTAAGTACTTCTATAATAAATGTATAACGAGGTGCAAGGAACTTTGCCAGTAAGAATTCTGAAGATAGTTACTTTAACTTTATTAAAGTGTAAACATGTTTGAATAGAAAAAGAACAGAATGTTCAGAAAAAGATGCTACAAAAGAGTTAAACGTGAAGAAAAAATAAAAGCATTAAATGCTCTTTTAGAGTGTGCAGCATTTACAAACTAGTACTACTTGTTACCAAGCTCTACCTAATCATAATATAAACTGAATCTGAAGTATGTTAGTCTTCATTATGAACAAGATACTTTAAATAAAATGTCTATCAGCGAATTCAATAAAACAATGAAGAAACTCCATAGGGGTGGACACAGATGCAACATGGAAAATATCCAAACATATCTTAAGAATGAAGAACGAATAGGCATTTTGTCAGCGATAAACTTGATTCAGGAATCCTCTCAGTATTATTGATCCAGTCTCCCTAAGTCTTGCTGTGGACTGGATTCCAGTGGAAGAAACCACTGCCTGTATTTAGCTATTTTACCCGCTAGTTCTATATTTGACTGCAAAAGTTTAGTTCTTCTGTCTGCCACCTACCTGGCTTTCCAGAGAGAAGGTACTTATGTCACATTTTCCCTATAAAAAGTTAATCTCATAAATAAGGAAAGAACTCTCTCTATGTTTTCTTATGTCTTTTAAGGACAGGTTTAGGATGTGGATTGTCCACTACGTGTTAATATAAATGATGTTGTGCTTCATTTACAGTGAGTTATTATCATAACTGTTTAACAAGAAATTTATGAGTAAAATAAGTGTTACAACATTTTAAGGTTAAAGACTAAAAATTTCAAACCTGGGTCCAATGACAGGAATTAATAAGATGTCCTGGAGTTTCGGGTGCTCAAGAACTGGAACACATAGTCCTTTAAATTGCTGTTTCATTAAAAAACATAATTATTAAGCAATACTAAAAAAACCCTAATATGTAAGTACTTAATTAGACTGAAAACTATTTTTTCATTCAAAATTTATAGCTGTAGAGTACCAAAAAAAATTTAGTGAAAACAGTTAAGAGAGGTTTGGAAAATGTGTGTACGGAGACACTCCGTATTAAAAGCACTGGTGTAAAAGGCTAAACATTTAATAAATTGAGAAGTAGCAAGGCCACAAAAGGATTCACTGAGAGCTGACTTCAGGGAGTGGGACAGTGTTCTGACACTCATAACCCTACCCCTGTTTTTGCTTTCTTCTGAAAGAAGGTTGTGTCTAGCTGTCATCAGATCACAGTAACACCACCAGAGAATCTTGGATCTAATCTGTGTTATCATTTTGACGTTATTAAATATAAACCATGGTTTAACTCTACTCCTGTATTGCCCATCTTACTTAATATGCCAGAGTGGTAATACTTTTCATTTTTCTTTTCAGCTTAACTTTTATTGGGTACTGAGACCTAAGTTGTGCATATAGGCGAAGAAAATGACAGCTTGGCATTTTAAAACTGTTCCTGGACTTTGAAAAGACGATGTCTTCTTGCCTGAGCCCTCTAAAATATAACCCTAAAACATGCAATACCATAGATTTGTTTGCATCTGATAAATAAGTATTTTCTTTTAAGAAAGAAAACAATCTACGAGCATACTTTTGTTAAAAACTGTTATGTAGTTTCCTTTTCTAATATGACCACAATTAAAAATACAAAAAGTTTACAAAAAGCCAGTCTTAATTCAGTTTTCAGCAAAGCATTTTCCCTTGAAGCAAAACATCATACTGCAATACCCATTTCCAGATTTCTACAATCAAGCTAAAATTAGCATAAGTCATTACCATTCCAGCTAACAGCATACTGTCAACTGCCTCTGCATCACAGAAATGTCTTGGCTCCTGTCATGCAATAGCTCTCTGTACACCCACTAGCATCAATAATTTACTTAAAGAAGAACTAGATCTTTTTAGACAGAGTGAAGATGTAGCACAGAGTTTCAAAATAATCTGCTTCTTAATGGTTTACATATTATCAGATAAATAAATGTTTAATTAAGGTAAGTAAAAATCCAGAAAATTATGTAAAGATTAAAAACAAGATAAAAAAAGAAAATACAGCAGCTCCAGGGCATCATTCTGGCTCTAGTTTCTAAAACACACAGATCTTCTCACTTCCCTAAACAGTTTGTACAACGAGGCACACAGCCATTCTCCTTTAATCTTAAATAAAAATGTTCTAACTATGCTGAACACAGCATACTGAACTATGCTTTTTTCTGTTTCTACCATCTTCTCTAGACTTATGATGCCTGTACAGTATTTACTACAGTACTACCGCAATTCTATCTAAGGTCTGGATCTGCCATCTGAAAAAGAGTTCGTTGTCTTTTCCCTTCTGCTGTTGTCTTTCTTGGATGTATTGGATGAGGAATACCACTAGATAATGAATCTTCATTTAACATTTAATGCTGACAGGAAATCAATAGGATTGCTTAATGTTAATACTAGTCGACATGTACTAAGTTAAGGAACAGTTTCCAGTTATGAAAAGTTTTCATAATCAGGTAAGAGATGAAATATCCTGTTATTTTTGCTGTAAGAAAGAAAATGCACAAACCTTCTGGATTTCTTCAAACAGCAGTTTTTTCACATGTTTGACTGAGGCCAAGTGGGTATTAACTCTAACGGTTGTGAAAGACGGTGGATGAGATAGATGACTTAACAGAGATTGGTATCTACTCTCCACCTCCTGCGTACCTAAAGCAGAGATAAGCTGAAAGAAGAGATTTTAAAATAAGTATTAAGGAGATTCCCACAGAAGCCTCTTGCTTAGTGCAAGAAAAGCACTGAACAAACACTCTGTAGAAATGGAAGAACATGGTTGTGTGGTGTGCAATAGTGAGGAATGTCTATGTCTGGAGGCCTAATTCCAGTGAAAACCTCATAAATTTCTTGAAAGGACTTGTTGGAAAAACAGTCGTATTAGCAAGATCATTGTAAACAGGCTGCAGCACGTACCAAAAGTAACTGCTAGTGAGCTCTGTGATACTGTACAAAGAACAGTTCTAAGGAGATGGAAGATTCAAAACTATGAATTAATAACTCTTATGCTGATACACAAAAACGTCATTTTTGTGTCCTTTGACATCAGGAATTCATACACTGTCTACAGTATTTTTGTTTCTGCACTGGGGTATTTCTTGTCAATATTATGTGGATAAGTGGTTAATTTTCTATGTGATCATACTTCAGTGGGATCCAAAACTGAAGTATCCGATTTATGCCAACTTGAGTTTAAATATTTTTATGTTGCTTTGAGCCAAGAGGCCTAAAGAATAATTTTATATTTTAAATAGAACTATGTACAAAAATCTGTGACTAATGTGAAGACAATAACTTATTATAAGGTATTAAAGTCACACAAAATATTAAATCAAAGGAATATTTACACTGTTCAATAAGTGAATATTTGTTGATAATTAGTAGTATCTATTCCACATACCTCATTATTTCTGAACACTTTGGTGAGATACTCTTCAACTTCACGTTGGAAAGAGATTTTGGGGAAAAAAGACATCTTCCTTTGGCTTTTAAAATCTGCTGGTAAAGAAATGAAATAAGCAAAATATTTTCTTAGTGGTTTTTATCATATTCTGTAAGTTTATAAATGTAACATAAGATGCACCTACAAAGTAAGCTGCAGTTTCTGATTCTTCTGTTTTAATAATGCAATTTTACTGTACTCAAAATCCCAAATATTGCTCAGGATATGACTGTAACACTACTCTTAATTACATTTCAGAATATACCAGGTTACTGGTTTCCTTGCTGTCACATCCTTCCCAGCCATATCTTCCACTGCTACTGTATCACTGTTAGAAACGTGAAGAAAGTGTCACCACTTCTAAAACCTGTCCCAATTAAGTTCCCCTAGCTATCCTTGGGGACAACTTGCCACTTAAGTCCTAGAATTCACTCACAAAGGCTCCACACAGAAGTTTGCTTTGACTCTTCTAAGTCCCGTCTTTGAAATTCTTATTCTATTACATCATCATATCTGTTAATTTTTAGAGATAATCTTCTAATTTTTCCCTGTCAGATTTCTTTTCCTCAAGCTTAACTTCTTAGGTTTCCTCCATAGTTCAGATTATCCAAATTTCATAACGGGGGGAACACGTGCATGACTGTGGACAATGATTTTTATTTTTTCCAGATATATTTAAAAATTTAAAGGACTGTAAGTAACACTTTTCTCTTAAGTCTGTGTTTAATTCACAGTAGGACTAGCAAAGCATTAATGCAACAGAAGCTCTGCTGATCCTTACTGAAAATCTTCAAGCTGTCTGGTGAAAGAATACACAGTTTAAAGGTATAGGAAATTTCCAGATGTTGCTTTAACTCCTTCTGCAAGCCCCAGCTATAAAGTCCCTACTGTAGCTCAGCTCTGATGCAGCTTTTATTCTTTGTACTTATTTTCTGTTTATTTTTCTCTGTAGGTTATAAAATACAGTTATCTTCCCAAATTGTATCTCCCCACTCCTATATTGCCTGTATTTTGAAAGATTATATACACTTCAGTCTGAAATGAGACTTCCTAAAAAATTAATAGCTTGTTTTCACCAACTTAAACGGTGGGAAAGTGAGGACCTCGCCCATCAGTAAGGTTTACGTCATCCACAACAAGGCAGTTTTGAATACTAAAATATTACAGTTACATTGTATTAAACATACTTAGAGAACATACATCAGAAGTTTGGTATTCATTCTATTTTAACAAGAAGTTATTTGACACTTCTATCATACAAACCCCCTCAAAAATATCTTCTTTTGATATTTCAGATTCAGTTGAAGCTTTAATGCCAGAAGAATGTTACCTTTTTCAAACTTAACGTTTAAGCCCAGACAAAGAAAATTTTCAGTTTCATAGGCAGAAGTTTCAAAGCCTTATTCCCAACATTAGCAGCCTTTGAAAGAAAGAAACTGCAACAGAATTAATGAACTTCTTTTTCAAATCTAACAAAATGCCCAAAAGAATTTACCTTGATATTTCTACTAAATCTAATAGTACTACGATAGTTCATATTACAACTGAACTGAACTGAAAGTTCAGTTTTAACTTTTCAGATGATGGGACACATCATCCCTCTGAGCTGTTGTCCTAGGATGCCTACATTACAGGAAAAAAACCCACAAAAATCACCAAAAAAACCCCATATGGCTCACATTTGGAAAGTTTTTTCTTCAGAAGCATAATAAACTAGCATTTTAAGAAATCCCACGCTTGTGAATTTTCTTAAGAGTTGGAATCCTGAATAGACTTAAGCAGGCATTTGAAAACTGGTAGAAATATGTGTTATTTATGAGCCCTACAAGTGACTTTGGTATTAAGACTAAGAATGTGTGTTTGGTTTGCATGGCAAGGTTTTGGTAGCGGGGGGAGCTGCAGGGGTGGCTTCTGTGAGAAGCTGCTAGAAGCTTCCCCCATCTCCAATAGAGCCAATGCCAGCTGGCTACAACACGGACCTGCTGCTGGCCAAGGCTGACCCCATCAGCGACAGTGGTAGTGCCTATGGCATAACATAGTTAAGGAGGGGAAAAAGTTGCTGTGCAACAGCAACTGCAGCCAGAGAGAGGAGTGAGAATACATGAGAGCAACAACTCTGCAGACGCCAAGGTCAGTGAAGAAAGAGGGGGAGGAGGCGTTCCAGGTGCCAGAGCAGAGATTCCCCTGCAGCCTGTGGTGAAGGCCATGGTGAGGCAGGCTGTCCCCCGGCAGCACATGGAGTTTAACCGTGGAGCAGATATCCACCTACAGCCTGTGGAGGCCCCCACGCCAGAGCAGGTGGATGCCCAAAGGAGGCTGAGACCTCATGGGAAGCCTGAGCTGCAGCAGGTTCCTGGCAGGACCTTTGGCCCTGTGGAGAGAGGAGCCCATGCAGGAGCAGGTTTGCTGGACTTGTGATCCCGTGGGGGACCCATACTGGAGCAGACTTTTCCTGAAGGACTGCACTCCATAGAAGGGACCCATGCCAGAACAGTTCATGAAGAACTGTAGCCCATAGGAAGGACTCGCACTGGAGAATTTCATGGAGGACAGTCTCCTGTGGGAGGGACCCCACACTGGAGCAGGATAAGAGTGTGAGAAGTCCTCCCCCTGAGGAGGAAGGAGTGGCAGAGACAGTGTGTGATGAACTGACACAACCCCCATTCCCCGTCCCCCCGCACTGCTTGGGGGGAGGAGGCAGACACAACTGGGGAGGAGGCAGACACAATCGGGAGTGAAGTTGAGCCTGGGAAGAAGGGAGGGGTGGGGGGAAGTTGTTTTAAGATTTAGTTTTTATTTCTCATTACCCTACTCTGATTGTAGTGGCTATAAATAAATTCATTTTCCCCAAGTCGAGTCTGTTTTGCCCATGATGGTAATTGCTGAATTATCTCTCCCTGTCTTTATCTAGACCCATGAGCCTTTTGTGATACTTTCTCTCCCCTTGTCCAGCTGAAGAGGGGAGTGACAGAGTTGCTTTAGTGGGCACCTGGTGTCCAGCCAGGGTCAACCCACCATAGAAGGTATCTTTTTAGAACGTTAAATGGGTATTTTATAGTAACTGCAGAATCCCATAGAATGACTGAGGTGATCTCACAATTAGTTACTTCTTCATGAAAAACCAACCACTGATCTGACAGCATGTTGGCAACAAGACTTGTTTCTACCTCATTTTTAAAATGTGACTGAAAGCTACCACAAAACATGAGCTAGTAAGTGGTCAAACCAAAAACTCTTGGTCAAAAACACTGCACAAAAAGGACAGAACTGCAATGATATTCCCTAAATGTGTTATAAAAGGAAAGCGTTAGTCCCATGATACAAATTAACAATACAACTACGTCAACAAGTATGGTTTGAAATTTCATATCAAAATAGAAAAGTTATGTGCTAGAAACCATCATCCTTCTAAGCAGGATGGCAAGTTACAATGCCTGCAATATATTGAGGGCAAATAGAAAAACAGGAATACTAATCTCACTTCTCCCCATGCAGACAGGGTAAACATCACCCAGAAGCATGATGCCACATCCGGGCTTTAAACCGCAGTTAACGAACATTTTTAGGAAATTAAGGAACACGTAAGAGAAGTTAAGATCTGACCTCAACTAGTTCATGGGGCCTGGTACAAAATGTTACTGCAGAACAGCTGCTCTACCATAGCAACCCAAAGGCGTGTGGACTCAACACACGCATTCAAATGGCAAATACAAGGAACCCACTATCATTGTGCTTAGTTCAAGGAGAGGAACGACACACAAATGAGAAGCAATTCCTCAGTTAAAAAGAGCAGTCAAAAGAATAAAACTATTGCGAGTAGCCTGGAAATTTTAAAATCACGCAAGCGGAGGTTCAGAGCACACCCACACACCCTGTAGCTTCAGCACTGGAAGTTTGCCCTTTCAGTGCCCATTATCTCAGAAAAGATACAATGTAGCTTAAAAAGGTTCAGGGAAAAGTGATGACCTATACATAAGGAATGGCTTTCAAGTAAGGAAAGACTAAACGGTTTGCAATTTTCCAGGATGGGGAACATAGTTGCAGGGACATAGGAAAAAAAGGGTATAGATTCAGATGTGGCATGAAGGCTGATGAGGGAGACTGCCTAGTGCCTCTTCAAATACAAGAGTTCGACTTCAAACAGAACTAGCAGGAGGCAGGTTTGAAACCAGTGAGGTATTTTTTTTCCACAGACCTGCTGTGCCATACATCTTGCCCCAGGAAAGGCCTGATGGACTTCAGAAGGGAGCCCTCAAGGGAGCATCATGTCCTGTTCACCATCTCCGTATGGATTTCCCTGTGTCTCTGTTGGGAGCTGCTGCCAGACATGATAATGGACTGATCCAGCTGTGTACACACGTAGCCAGCACCCAGAGATGCCAAACAAGATTTAACTTTCAAACCTCTTTTTCCCTCTCTTTCCCACGCGAGTTATCACAGCTGAGAGCTTTCTTTTAACACATGCTAGAGTTAAGACTCTAAAAAATTTACAGTAAATCTCTACTTGATCACACTAGTTCCAGGCTTGCTTAATGGCTTTAATATTTTCCCCAGTAACAAAGCCACTGCAATATTTAACTTTCAAACCTCTTTTCTCCACTTTTTCCCACACGAGGAAGAGATCAGTCGGCTCATTGCTGTGGGGAAAGGAATTTGGGTCTCCCTCCTTTATTCCCCCATCTGCCCCGTTACTGAGAACTCCAGGCGTGGGGGGGTCACGGCTCTTCGCAGCCTCCCTGAGGCCCTGCGCGGCACCTCAAGCCAGTCCCGGGGATACCCGGGAGACAGCGCACCTCTGCAGGACGCGCCACCGCCGCCGCCACCACCACC